TTATTCTATAAAGGGTAGCTAATATTATATGGTGTTTATGGAAAAGAGAAAAAACAGTAGTGGGAGTTTTAAAGTTCAGGTTCCTTGGAAGGATAATGATTGACTTGGGATTCTCATCTTTGGTTTTTTTTTCCAGAGTCACTTGTATTCAGTATCTCATCCCTCACAACCCCATGCCCATGTTGTCGGCCATTCATACATATGGTTCCAGCTCTGGTCCGCCAATGGAGATGGATTGTTCAATAGGAATTGCTGTGTTTTTATGTTTTAAGTGCTATTTTTCCCTTAGGCTTTCAGCATGTCACTCTATTTCAAAAACAAGTGGCTCAGGTGTCTTGAAAACCATGTGCTGAGGATCACTGTCAGGGATTCTGTTTATTCACAAAAAGGTCATTAACTTGGAGAGAACCTTATTTTCACTCCGGGCTGGTGTGCATAACTCTATAAAGAATTTGGGTACTTAATGGTGCTTACTGCCAAGCTGTCCTGAGGTCAGCGATCCTTTCACAGCTCATTCATGAGACTGATGGACATTATTGTGATATGTTACATAAGAAAACCCTCTCAGTTTCCTAAATAAATTATATTCATGTAGTGCCATAGGACATGTAAACCGAAACACGGAGGGAAAAAATGTTTTGTTATTCCTTCAGGAAAGACTTGTGAGTTGGCTTTTTGCTCTCTCGATTGCTATTATCAAGGCCCTTTCCTGCTTTCTGGTCCAGAGTCTGCCCAAGCTAATTCTTGCACTGAATAACAACTCACTGAAGAACTCGCCAGCCTGGGCAATAAGGAGTCATGGTTTCTCTACCCTGGGCTGTGCCACTGCTCACTGTGTGACCTACGCACGCTACCCAAGCACTCTCGGCCTCTATTTTCCTGTCCAAAAAACAACAATGTCATCTTTAAGATACTATATCCCAGCTCTACAGCCCTATGGTTCTCCTCCTATCCTTTTCAAATACTTTGTCATGTATTTTGTTTCTCTAGTGATGACTAGTATAGAATAAATAATTGCTACCTAGAAGATGTAATTAAGTTTATATATTATTTTCTACAACTAATATGCAATGGATTTTAATTTTATTCATAATTACTAACTTCAGGCTTAAAAAATATGTGTACTAAGTGGGAATACTGCACCATTTTTATAGCCACTTCTTCTCATGCTAACAAAATTACATAATAAAACACCACCCACACAGATGATAAGCCTCACTCTATCACCAGGAAGCATAATTAGCAAATTAAAGCGTTGGACTCACATTTATGCTTATAATCCCAAGGTTTTGTTTTATTCAAGTAAAGCCCGTGGCCTAAATCACAGTCATTATAATATGGTACTAAGTAAATAAAAGTCTGTCTGCCTTTCACAATTATGTTTTAATTTCCCATTTTACATTTTCCAACATGCAAGCTAGGTTTTGTTTACATTTTGATTTCATTTACTAAAGAACTTTCTCCCATAGAATCTTCTGAAAATAGAAGTGCAAGCATACATATAACACATGGATTTTTGCCCCCTATAAACATTAGCTTGTGTCTAGTCTTTGCTGGTAGCATATGCATAGAAATACCAGTGTCACCAGGCACGGTGGCTCACGCCTGTAATCCCAACACTTTGGGAGGCTGAGGCGGGTGGATCACGAGGTCAGGAGATCGGGACCATCCTGGCTAACACGGTGAAACCCCGTCCCTACTAAAACTACAAAAATTAGCTGGGTGTGGTGGTGGGTACCAGTAATCCCAGCTACTCAGGAGGCTCAGGCAGGAGAATCACTTGAACCAGGGAGTCGGGGATTGCAGTGAGCCGATATCACGCCACTGCACTCCAGCCTGGCGACAGAGCGAGACTCCGTCTCAAAAAAAAAAAAAAAGAAAAAAAGAAAAGAAATACCAGTGTTTTCTATTAGGAGAATTTTAAACTTTCTCTACTATCTTCAGAAAACATTCTTTGAAAGAAAGGTTATTACATTCAGTCTGGTTTCTTTGCATGTCTCTGGAACAGCGGGATATAAAAACCCATTTTGGCAGCAGATCTCCAGAAAACACTGGCAATTCTGCAATGAGGGGAGGTACAACTTCCTAATGAAAGTGTTCCCTCAAATCTAAAGGTCATCTGAACACTTTCATGCATACACAATACAATGTATGTGTTGTGGTTGAATAGACACAACAGAGGAGGCAGACTGAAGTTCAAATCCTACCTCTGCCACTTACTAATTGTGTGACACTCAGCAAATCACTTATCTAATCTTTGCAAGTCTCCTTTTTTTTTTTTAGATGGAGCCTCACTCTGTTGCCAGGCGGAAGTGCAATGCATGATTCTCGCACTCAACTGCAACATCCCGCCTCCCAGCGTTTAAGGGATTCTCCTGTCCCCAGCTCCCAAGTAAGCTGGACTACAGGTGTGTTGCCACGCACATCTGCTAATTTTTGTTATTTGTGG